TTCGTCACCAACTTCGCCCGCGGTAACCCTGCTGAGTTGATACGCCGCCTTTCCACACTTGACGACCCGCAAGCGAGCTACCAACTGCTACGTTTGTCTGGCGTTCCACGCTTGTTTCATCTGCTGAGAACGATTGCACCGAGCATTACCAACACTGCCGCAAGAGAACATGACAACCTGATGATATGGGCAGTAAGCAAGATCGTTCTCGGCAAAATGGCAAACACTGTGGGAATTCCAACCGTGGAAGAGGTACGCGCAAACCCAGAGAAGAGTGAGGTCGACTTTTTCAAAGATTCAGCTCGGGCACAGGTGCACCTGCCCATACGTGAAGGGAGGCTTGGAATTACAAGCAGTGTTCTCATTCGAGAATCGGCTTTTGTGGCAGGGCAAGCATTAGTGTTCTCCAAGTCAGTGCAGGCATCAACAGGACTCACCATTGAACAATGCCTACCGCAACTTGCACAGCTACCAACAGGATTAGCTCTGATTGACTCCCTCAAGAAACTAAAAGAGATCATCACCAAAGACAAGCTCGAAAGAGCTGTTGGTCAGTCATGGACTAAACTTGTTACATCTGACGATTTAACTCCCACTCTTCGAGGGGTTTATCTCATGGAGGCCGGGAAGGTAGTAGCCGAGAGACAAAATGGAGACGACAACCCTGACGAGGAACCACCATCTCCGTCGACATGCGGGCGAAATGAATTTGGCCGGTACTATCAAGTCTTCGGAGCTCAAGCCGTCCTGTCGAAGCCCCTTCATGCAGCAGTCCGCCATATGGTAGTAACAGGCTTGAAAAAAGCAGGATCCCAGGAAACCTCAAAGAAGAGAGCCTTCCCCTGTAGCCATTCGGCTACCCCTGTGTGAACCCTGCAGGCAAATAGACCCTGTACGGACGCTGTGACCACCTGCCTAGGTAATCGGTCCCCACAGGGTCCACGGGCAGAAACCCTTTGCCAGCGTGTCGACACAACCAGGGTTGTACCAGTCATTTCTACGGTACATTTAGTCTTGTAGGGTGTGTTTTGCCTCTAGCGTACAGCCCCAGCATTACTATACCGATGGTCCAGCGATCTACTGCTGTACACCGAGCACGGCCGTTTTTCTTTTTTTTTTGAAGATGCACGCGATAAATGGTGCTCGCTGCCGGGGGTGGAAAGTGACAGTCCCGTTCACAACTTGCACAGCACAACAGGGTTCGGCCGTGCTGCTATAGGGCATGGGCCGCGCGTCATCCGTGGGCGGCGGCGGTCAACTATCCGGTCTACTCGGTGGCCGTGGCTCTGGCAGTGCCTCGGGCGGTGCCCCCTCCGGGTGGCCTGGCGCTGGTTCTTCGGAAGGTGGCGGGTCAACCAGTGTTGTGTCATCGGATCAGAGGGCAGGAAGACACCAGGCTAAATCCAGACATGTGTCGACTGGCATCAACGGCAACAAGAGTTCAGCTTCTGGTACATCACACAGTGGCGGTACCAGGTTCGGTGGTCCCACGGGCGGTGGTTCCACTTCGACCGGGGCGAGCACCACGACCTTCCGCACCCTGGGTAAGCGATCTGTTCAAGAGCGCCACAACAGCGAGGAGTGCCACGAGACGGGCATTGGCGGGGAATCAACCATCAACATGGATATGTCCGGACAAAACCTCTTGACGCGCTTGACACTGCGCTGGTGCCCAAGGCGGCGAAGGCCGCGCTGTTGGGCCTTTTGCTGCAGCTCATCAGCCCCGACGTGGTGAGTGGTTTCTTTTATCATGAGAAGAAGGGTAGTAAAACGTATTGACTTTTTCTTGTTTTTTTTTCTTGTTCGAGTGGAAGTGGAGCATGCACGCGCTGGTGGACTGATCTTAGAATCACCACCGATTGGTTTTTTTGTTTGTGTATCTGGGGGGAATGCTTGGACTTCGGCCGCGAGCCTAGTTGCAGTGGTCTAGGATGAGGTAACTGTTTTATTGTTGCGTAGCCTTGGCATCGGGTTGAGAGCAGGAGGCATGGGCTCTGCGTCTTTATTTCTGAGTGAGGTTCTTCCTGTTTGCTCTTGTTTTTTTTTGCCGATTTCAACCCCCGATTAGTCATTTCGCCATTTTATCTCGCATTTGATGTTCCTCTTCGCTGATTAATAGG